GAAGAGGGTGGAGGTGGGCAGGTAGACGCAGAGGAAGAGGACGACGTCCTCGCTGAGGCAGAGGACGAAGCCACTCTGCTCCGTCAGCACCCAGTCCACCAGCACCCCCACCAACAGGTAGTACACTTGGAACTCCTGAAGCTCCTCCCACTCCCCGCCGCCCCCATCCAGCCCTGTCCCCGCCTCCTCCGATGAGCTCTTCCGCCTGGCCACGCCCCCTCCACCGCTGTCACTCACCATGGGCTTCATCTCCGCCCCCTCCGACACCGCCTCCTTCACACGGCTCCGCCCACGCTCCACCGCCCGCTCCAACCGCCGGCTGCTTTCCACGAACTCCTGCAGGGGGGGGCCACAGGGGAGGGGCGGGTCACAGATGGAGGGGTCGGGGTCAGAGGGTAGAGGAGGGGTCACAGAGGGAAACAAACAGGGGAGGGGGGGGTCCACAATAAAGAACAAGTCAAGACCACAATTCTTTGCAACACAACGACGGGTCGCTGTATGTGTACAACTGCTGGTGGACGTCCATTTTTATTTATACAGGCTATAAAAATAACAGCTGACCAACTAAAGCTAACAGTTTGTCTTCATATTAACCAACTGATGAAGAAGACGGTCGACATTAACTCAATTGAGTTAAACTGTATGACAAACTGTATTCTGTGAAGATGAAACCAGATTATCTTCACTGTCTTGTTGCTGCTGTTTACATTCAACCAGAATTATTTCCTCTAAATATGGATAAAAATAACTGCATATACTGTTTTATTTCATGTTATTCTATAAATGTAATGATTTCCTTGAGTCCTTGATATCATTTCTTTATAAACATACATATACATATATTATATATATAATATATATATATATATATATATATATATTATATCTATCTTGTGTGGACCGATATGCGTACGCACATTTCACCGCTGATTAGGTAACTTTTTTGTGCTTTAAAACCCTTTTAAATGGTCGCCACAGGTTTCATTCAGTTTCATATAAAATGAGTCAAATCAGCACGCTGCCGTCTCACCATCAGAGCTTTGTCCATGAAGAACTCCTTCCCCGGAGTGCCGTCGTTGTACTTTGTGTCGATGGCGAAGCAGAGGAAGAGGACATCCACCACGATCTCAAAGATGGACAGGAAGCAGTGAGCCACCAGGAAGGAGAAGAGACACACAATGATCAAAGGCAGCAGCCACTCGGCGTAATCCCGCTGGTAGTTCAAGAGGAGGACGCCGGCGAACGCCGTCGTCGTCACGATCAGGATCTGAGGAGTCACAGAACGGAGGGAAAGAGTTGAACAGGTCGGAGGTCAGAATGAGTCTGTGAGACAGAATACGTCTTTTGTTATGATTTATTTTATAATGTATATATATCATAAATGTTTCATTTTTTATTTGAATGACGCATTGGTTCTTTCCTCTAGTGCCACCTTCAGGACAACATGTTTCCCTTCACTACTGCTCGCAAACAATAAATAAATCACAAGGATGTAATGGCCTCTGTGGCCTGCAGGGGGCGCTAACAGGTCTTTACTTGGTCACTTGGATCAGAACCACAGGTAGGTTTACCACAGGTTTAACAAGGTTAAAATGCAACATTTATTAATATGGCATTTTAAAGGAATGTATACAGAATCATTTCTTTTGATGGTAAAAACAAAAATATTAAATAAAACTCCAACTTTAACTGTAAAATCAACAATACTAATATTTCTATTTTACCGTAATAGTGGAAAAAGTTCTACCGTATTTATCCCGGTAAAGTTATGGCAACCAGAGCTGCCAGATCAGTCAGATCCTGACTGAGCTGCTGTCTCACCTTCCCCAGGAAGAGCACGAAGTCTCCGACAGCGTTGATTGTGGCGACGCGCAGAGCGTTTTCCACCAGGATTACGAAGGCGTCTCGTGCAGATGTGCAGAAACTGGTGCTGTTGATGGCTGTGGCTGCATATGCATTCTGGGAAATAAAAGCACAGGTGAGTCAGTGTCAGTGAGAAGAGGAAGAGTTAAAGAAGACTTAAAGTCGTTTGTTACCTGATTGAGATAGTTGAGGCACTTCTCCAAACACCACAGACAGCAGATACAAGTTTTCAGCAGACAGCGAGCGCACGCATTCTCCTGAGATAAACAACAACAACACAAATAAACAACATTTAACTAAACAACACATATATATATATATATATAACAGCTCAATAAAGGAAACATCTACAGTATAACAAATATTATATGAAGTATCATATCATCTGCATACAGACTGATCTTGTTTCATCTGTTAGTACAAAAACTTTTTTAAATCCCCAACATTCATTATCTGTCTCAGTTTGTTTGGTTGTGTCGGCAGTGTGGTGTTAAAGGTTTTATTGTATCAGCAGTGTGGTGTTAATAAAGGTGGTTTTCTATCAGCAGTGTGGTGTTAATAAAGGTGGTTTTCTATCAGCAGTGTGGTGTTAATAAAGGTTTTATTGTATCAGCAGTGTGGTGTTAATAAAGGTTGTTTTCTATCAGCAGTGTGGTGTTAATAAAGGTTTTATTGTATCAGCAGTGTGGTGTTAATAAAGGTTTTATTGTATCAGCAGTGTGGTGTTAATAAAGGTTTTATTGTATCAGCAGTGTGGTGTTAATAAAGGTTTTATTGTATCAGCAGTGTGGTGTTAATAAAGGTTGTTTTCTATCAGCAGTGTGGTGTTAATAAAGGTTTTATTGTATCAGCAGTGTGGTGTTAATAAAGGTTTTATTGTATCAGCAGTGTGGTGTTAATAAAGGTAGTTTTGTACCTTTCCTTTGAGCTGGTTGTGGATGTACATGAGGATGAGTCGGGGGATCTTGACCAGCGTGATGATGAAGGATCCTTTAGCGACGGTGCCCAGGTGATACCTGACCAGCCTCAGGACTGACGACAGGATCGGGGTCACCGGGAGTCGGTTCTTGTCCCTGAAACACAAAGTCCTTATATCTGGTTCCCCGAGGTCAGGTGTGTACACAGAAACAGAAAGCAGGAAACGGACATCTACAGGAACCATCACTACCACTATCATAAATATGAAGCGGATTACAGCTAGCTTAGCATAAAGATTGGAAACAGATGGAAACAACTAGCTTAGCACAAAGACTGGAAACAGCTAGCATAGACCAAACGCAGCAGAATCTTGCAGGTGTGGACTCACCTGGTGAAGTAGTACGTGACCACGGCTCCGGCCACAGTCATCTGCTGGCAGGCCAGAATGAACTCTGTGATCCAGATTAGACCCACAGCGTGGTACCAGGTCAGGTACTGCAGAGGCCCCGTCAGTCTGAACTCTGTCAGACCCGTCTCCTCGTTCTGGACCGGGTTCCCTGCATAATCACAAAGACACACCCCACTACAGTTCCCATAATGCTGTTGGGGACGTAAACAGGAAGTAGAATGTTGCCATGGAGTGGGTTTTCTGAATGAGCTGATGGCATGTTAGCATCTCTCGCTAGCACAAAAAGCAATAGTAATGTGATACAGTTGAATTTTTATTTAACAGCTGTTTACTGATAATATTAACTGTTCATGAAAAAAGACTAGTTGTCAACAACAACAAACTACACCCGCCAACTGTAGCTGAACGTTAGCTATCTTAGCTATATGCTATATGCTATAAGTTAGCATCTGGCAGTGTCTAAATGCTGGCAACGTGAACACGTGGTGGAGTTTAAATTGACCCGTGGTTCCCAGGAAGAGCAGGACCAGGATCCAGTAGATCCAGAAGAGCAGGAGGGCGAGGAAGGTGACGAAGGGCTGCAGGGTGAGGAGGGGGAGGTGGATGAAGACTTTCCCCGCCACGTGGAACAGAGCGATGGTCAGAGCGACTCGTTTCCTCATGAAGAGCATCAGCAGCAGCAGGATGATCTGGAACAGCAGACCTGGTTACGTAAGGGGGTCTTATAAAGCTCTACAACTCATTTAGATCAATAATAAAGAAATATAGTTCTATGTATTACTCCGAAGGTGTTCCTGCTCAGAGAATGTTCTGAGGTGGTTTTATTGCTAACCCCCTGAGTCAGCTAACGTTAGCTGCACAAGCTACAAACTTTAAACTTTATACAAGCGATAATAAAGTTGTGTTATACAGGAAGATTAAATCATTGGATTTCGATTTAAAAGGCTCTGAGGACAGATTTTAAAACCCTTGAGTCAAATTTATGATATAAGATTCTGAATAAAATGAATCTGACTCATATTGTCAGTTCAAACCCCCCCCCCAATGTCTGAACAGCAGATATTCGTACGGTGAAGACAGTGGCGGCAACGGCGTAGACGAGCAGTGCCTGTCCGCTGTCTCTGCTGACCGCCACCTCCTCCTTGGCCTCATCCTTGGCCTCCTTCATCCCTTTAGTGACGGTGTCGTTTCCGTACAGTCGGTGGTCGATGTAGAGCCACCAGAGGACGCTGGTCCCCGCTGGAGAAACACACACATTCACAGGTTTCATTATCTGCCTCTAGTCCAACTATCAGCAGAGCAAACAGGAAGTGACCTCACCAAGGGACCCGAGGACGACCAGCGAGGTGAGGATCCAGACAAGGACGGCCGAGATGTAACGGATGATCACCATGAGGATCATAGAGAGGACTGAAGGACACACAGAGGTCGGGGGTCAAATATCACAGAGACAAATGAACTGAGATTAAACAAACTCTGGCTGGAGGAACCTGACAGGGAACGGTCACTGTGCTGATTCTGGCGCCCCCTGTGGACAACAGTGGTACTGTTTCTACTGCCTCGTTTCATTGATTTCAAGGGGAATCCGACCCAGTGGCAACTTAAGGTGTGATCGTATACATATTAAACTGTATATACGTATAGCTGTTAGCTAGCATTATGCTAACATTAGCTAAAATGTGACTATATATATGTCTCTTGTGTTTTAACCATCTTCAAAATGTGGTTGTCTTTTCAACACAGATTAGCTTAGCATATTGCATATCTAAGGATATAAGGAGGGGGGGTCACTATAGCACGCACTGAGGGACTTACCTGAGGACATTTCCCATCAGCACTCACTGGACAACCAAATAAAATGAGGTGTAATGTCCCTTTACGGTCAGTATTAAGGCGGAGTGTTCTCACCCAGAGCGAGGACACACAGTCCGATGATGATCTCTTTACTGGCGGCGACGCCGGCGATCAGTCGGTGCAGAACGCTGTTGTCACCAACAAACGTCACCACGGCCTCCGCAAACTTTGCGTAACATGAAACATCCAGCGGAGTGCAGCGGTTGAACACCGGCAGCGGCTTACTGAGGACAAACAGGTTAGAGGTCAGAGGTCAGTAAGGACAGTGGTAGTGAGGGGTTGCAGGTAGAGCAGGACGTACCTGGGTGGAACAGGAAGTTTGGGACATTTGGAGAACCTCTCAGGGAGGCCGGGATATTTATGACCTGCTAACTCGTAGGAACACAGCTCGGACCCTGAAACACAAACACAGAGAGAGATCCTGATCAGCCTGATCAGTAATCAATACTCACATTAATCAAACTAATACCGTCAGACAACCTGATCAGCCTTTAGCAGTTAGCTAGTGTTTCTGTAGTGGAGACTAAACGTTAACAATGATCCATATCAGCAGTTTGAATCCAACTAAAAGCTCCCTGCACCAAACTCCCTTTAAGAAATATCACATTTTAACAATTCCTAACGTGTTCGTAACAACACGTAACTCTAGAAACACGAGCTAAAGGCCGTCATATGTCCACAGTCTGACTGTCAATACAGGATCAATATCATCCATAAAGATACAGTGTATACTGATCAATATCATCCATACAGATACAGTGTATACTGATCAATATCATCCATAAAGATACAGTGTATACTGATCAATAATCCATAAAGATACAGTGTATACTGATCAATAATCCATACAGATACAGTGTATGCTGATCAATAATCCATAAAGTTACAGTGTATACTGATCAATAATCCATAAAGATACAGTGTATACTGATCAATAATCCATACAGATACAGTGTATACTGATCAATAATCCATAAAGTTACAGTGTATACTGATCAATAATCCATAAAGTTACAGTGTATACTGATCAATAATCCATAAAGATACAGTGTATGCTGATCAATAATCCATAAAGTTACAGTGTATACTGATCAATATCATCCATACAGATACAGTGTATACTGATCAATAATCCATAAAGATACAGTGTATACTGATCAATAATCCATAAAGATACAGTGTATGCTGATCAATAATCCATAAAGTTACAGTGTATACTGATCAATATCATCCATACAGATACAGTGTATACTGATCAATAATCCATAAAGTTACAGTGTATACTGATCAATAATCCATAAAGATACAGTGTTCGATCAATAATCCAAAGTTCAGTGTATACTGATCAATAATCCATAAAGATACAGTGTATACTGATCAATAATCCATACAGATACAGTGTACTGATCAGTATTGATCATGTCTGGGTACAATCAGATACTGAACCAACTGAACACCGACTCATAAACTATTAATCTGAGCTAACACGGACGTTAAGCTAAGGTCTCTGCGAAAGGCCAAATAAATGAGGGTGGACAAAAAAAGAGAAACAGCTCTCAGACTGATGAACTGGCTCCTCTGTGTATTTCTGGAACAGTGAGTCTGTTCATAAACAACATGGCTGCCAGAGGAGCTGTGAGGTCACCTGATGAAACGTCTGCTGTCACGTTTTGAACAGTGAACACTGAGTGGCGGAGCGGAGCGGAGTGGCACCAACCGCACGCCGTTAATGCTGCTTTTGTTACTGTGTGAGTACTGTACACTGATGTGTGTCAGCTCACGCCTGCAGACATTCAATCATCAGCCTGACGTTACGGCGAGCGTCCGGACAACTCGTGACATCACTGCTTCCTATGCAACCACCTGACTGACTCAGACTGTCAGACCAGAGTTCAACAGTCCTGGACCACCACCCCTCCCCAGTTAGCCAACTAGCATTAGCCAGCTACTCCCACAATATCACGATATATTCCACAAGCTTTGCAATAAGGCGCCAGACCCACACCGCGCAGCCAAGACACAGCCAGCCGGACAACCCCAGCTTAGCTTAGCTACAGTTAGCTAACTGGAGGCCCCTGCCTCGCATCACTCTTGGCTAGTAGAAACCAACTGTTAGCTTTGTTAGCTGGGGAAGCTAATATTAGCCAACTTACAAATAAGCCAACTAACGAGTAAGCAAGCTAATGTTGTTTGTAGGGATGCACCGATCCACAAATTTTCACTTCCGATCCGATCCCGATACCTGAATTTGGATATCGGCCGATACCGATACTATTCCGATACCAGAGCTCTGTTTGCTTTAATATTATTATTATCATTATTGTTGATTTTATATGAGGCTGAAATAAACTCCTCTCAACAGGCAGTATGATCTGTACGTATGTATGCATGTATGTCCCAAAAGGAAACTTGAGGTAAGTATAAGGTCAGAAAAGGAAGTCAGAAAAACAGGAAATCCTGTTAACAGGAAAAATCCCATCCTGAAAACAAATATGCAACTGTAAGGGTTTCAAATTGATTGTCAAGTTAATATTTATTAAATTCCCAAAATGTCAAATAATTGAAATATAAGGAAAGTGCAATAAGTGTAAACATCTTACACACACACACACACACACACACACACACACACACACACACACACACACACACACACACACACACACACACACACACACACACACACACACACACACACACACACACACACACACACACACACACACACACACACACACACACACACACACACACACAAAACCACACACACACCCCCCCCCCCCCCCCCCCCCAGTGATTCCTGACAGTTCGCCTAAAAAATCCTCGTGCTGTTTCGTGTGGTAATTTTTTAAATGTTTGATTGCGTTCGTAGTGTTGTACGACGCGAGGGAGCTTCCGCGTCTCTGAATTACGGCTTTGCAAACATTGCATTTTGCTGTCTTGCTCTGCGGTGTTTCCAGTGTAAAGTATTTCCACACAGCGGACATGTTGGCTAGCCACAATGCTGCTCGATGCTATCCTGCTAGCTGGCTGCAAACTGCTGAATGGATTTCCTGAGTGGGGGCGTGTCTCATAACTCTGTGTCTCATTGAGCCGCGCCTCCGTTCAGGAAATCCATCCCACAGTTTGCAGCCAGCTAGCAGACTGGCCGGCAGGAATCACCTGTGGAGTCAGTCAGCAGACAACGTTAAAGCTGACATGGCTCATGGATATCGGAAATCTGCGCAGGTTGGATCGGGAAAATCCGATACGTGAATTACGCTGGTATCAGTCCCGATACCGATACTGGATCGGATCGGCCCCATCCCTAATTGTTTGTAGTCGTTAGCGGACTCCATTTATAAACTAATGTTAGCTAGTGTTGCCCACTGTTGGCACTCGGGAGCATAAAGGTCACAACCTTTGACCCTCATCCTACATAGAGACACATAGAGACACATAGAGACACATAGAGACACATAGAGATCAGTCCACAGACAGCAGAGGGACAAAGCTACACTACAACCTGTTCACTCTCTGCTCACACACACACACACACACAGACTCACACTGACACACACACACACACGCACACACGCACAGACTCACACTGACACACACACACACACAGACTCACACTGACACACACACACACACACACACACACAACACACAAAAGACTCACACTGACACACACACACACACACACACACAACCACACACACACACACACACACACACCAAACTAAAAAAAAAACACACCAAACAAGAAACACACACACACCACAGACTCACACTGACACACACACACACACACACAGACTCACACTGACACACACACACACACACACACAGACTCACACTGACACACACACACACACACACACACAGACTCACACTGACACACACACACACACACACCAAACGGGTTTTTAGCGCTGAGAGCTTTCCGAGCGCCCAGCGGGGTTAAAGGTTGAACAGATTTCAACTTGAAGCGCTAAAAAAGTATTTTTGAAACTAAACCATTTCCAGAGAGGTCGACCCACGTCTCGGCACTAAATCATCTGAAGTACCGGTAGCTTCAGGGACCGGAGGTGTTTGCATTTTCTCTCTACCATCACAACGCAATGCTAAACTGTTGCAAGGAGGATGCTAGCGAGAGGTCATGTGATCACGTCATGTGATCACGTAGGCCCACTAGTCATGTGACTGAATCCTGCCATGCTGTAGAGAGCGTTGCTGCACCGTGTATTAATGGATGGGAGGAGTTTCCGCCTGCCTTTCAATATTTTTGGCGAATAATTTAAATACTCGATAATGGAAATTTGCACATCGTCAAAAACAACAATGACGATATTATCGCAAACGATATATATCGCCCACCTCTAACAGACACGCACACTGACACACACACACACTGACTCACATACAGAGCAATGACCTCACCGTTGAGCATGGCGAACCTCTTCAGGTCCTGGTAGGTCTGCAGCTCCTCGGGGGGGCACAGAGACACGCAGAGGGCCATGGACCTGATCTTCCTCTGGACGATGTCGATGTTACAGGGATCCAGGAAGAAGACGAACCTGCAGGAGACAGAAAGCACAGGAAGTCACTAAAGGTCTTCTTCCTCCCTCACATCATTCCTTCAGAATCAGAATCAGAAATACTTTAATAATCCCAAGGGGAAATTATTATTATTTTTGTTTTTAAGTATTTTTTTTGCCTTTATTGCCTTTATTTGATAGGATAGCTGAAAACAGACAGGAAAGGGGGGCAGAGAGAGAGAGGGGATGACACGCAGCAAAGGGCCACAGGCCGGACCCGAACCCCAGGCCGCTGCAGCAAGGACTCAGCCCCGGCACATGGGCCGCCAGCTCCACCCACCGAGCCAACAAGTTCAAATTAAGAGCATTCAGTTGTCAGAGTCAGACAACCTCTGATGCTTTTATTTTTTAAACCAGACACATTTAACAATACTTCTCAAATAGAAGTCAATAATCTTAAATAACAAATGAAGTCAGGGCTGAATCTTGTTTTACTTTATCTTATCTCTTTATTCTATCTTATCTTTATCTTTTTAGATGTCACCGTTTCTTTTGACTTTTGTAGAGCTGCAACAAAAGTATTTTGAGAAAGAAATATCAGATATTTGCAGGTTCCTGCTTCTCAAATACGAGAATTTGCTGCTTGTTTGAATCATTTATGACAGTAAATGAGATTATTTGTGGGCACCCGGTTAGCTCAGTGGGCTGGCGTCCTTGCTGCAGCGGCCCAGGGCTCGAATCCGACCTGCGGTCCTTTGCTGCGTGTCATCCCCTCTCTCTGCCCCCCTTCCTGTCTGTCCTCAGCTGTCACTATCATAAAGGCAATAAAAGCCCCAAAAATACTTTAAAAAGAAAAATGTATTTTATTTGTTGAGTTTGGACTGTTGGTCGGATGGTCAGTCTCTAGTTTCAGTCTTCTTCCATACAGCATGATGTTCATTTAGTAACTGATGGTCCCATTTAGAGTAAAACAGACCATAAAGCAGGGTATGCTTTAGGGCGGGGCTACCTTGTGATTGACAGCTCATTCGTCCAGCTCAACGCACCAAACTCAGGTCAAACTGTCAAACAGTGCTGATCAGATATGGATCCAGATTCTGTTGTTGACTATTTCTCTCCTCACATCTGTTCACAAACACATTTTACTGTTTATCTGGAATACCAGATCCTGTGTGAGCAGGAGAGCAGCCAATGAGAGCAGCTCAACTCGCTTTACGTGACCTCCGCTGGCTGCTCAACACCAACATGGAGGCTCCAGAGCTCCACAGACCGATGGGGGACCACAGGGTTACAGCTCAGTTTTGTGTCAGTGTTACATGAGGGGGGTGAATGTTTATCTGGACACAACAGGAAGTTCATCAGCTGACTGACAACCAGGTGACCTCAGCGACCCCGGGGCAGGTACGGCCCCCGGGGGTCGGGGCCCCGGAGCGGCTGATAATCGAGCAGCGACGATTAAATCTGCATGAAGAATGAAGACGTGGGACACAAACAAAGAGAGTGCAGTGGAAATGTCCTACAGAGACAGGAATCTGTTGACACACACACTCACACACAGTATGCTAATGAGGTCACCTGTTTGTCATCTGTCCACCAATCCAACTTCACCTCCACCTTTCAGAATAAAGCTCAGCAGCAATAAATATGGAAATATAACAGATTTCATTTTATAGATTTTAAGAGACAGAATGTTTATTTTTAATGTATCAGAGATATTTTATGATGTAAAAGGTAAGTACAATTTTGTTTTAATTGTTTTACTTGACTATTTCTATTTTATGTTACTTTATACTTTTACTCCACTACATTTATCTGACCACTTTAATTACTGAAGATTTCTCTGTTAGATAAAAACACACAATTAACTTTAACTTTTGTTTCATTTTATTTCAAACTGTTTAATATGAAAGCAGTGATTGGTTTCCTTTCAACAACTGATTGAATGATCAATATTAATTGACAGGTGTGTCCTGCAGTCCAGATGTGTCTCAGGGTGATGATTTCATTGTGTCTCTCTCTCTCTTTCTCTCTCTCTAACTGAATACACTATAGTAGTATTAATATTAATATTAATATTAGTATTATTAATGTATTTGTCCTTCTTCCTACTGTCTGTAATTACTTTACTTTGTTTCAGTTGTTCTGTCCTGTTTTATGTTTTGATGAGAGAATGGATTTTATTTTATTCTGTTCCTATGAATGACAATGTGTGTGTGTGTGTGTGTGTGTGTGTGTGTGTGTGTGTGTGTGTGTGTGTGTGTGTGTGTGTGTGTGTGTGTGTTGATGAGTCACAGCTAAGAACAGTCAGCACAATCAGCTCTGTTCTCTCCCACAGGACAACAAACGCACCGTGCAGAGCGCAGACCCAGAATGAGCCACACAAAACTACAGCAGGACTACAGTAATACTACAGTAATACTACAGCAGTAATACAGTAATACTACAGCAGAACTACAGTAATACTACAGCGGTAATACAGTAACATACAGTACAGCTGACAAACAGCACCGGGAGGCCACATGAGAGGAGCTTGGTAACTGAAGGCTCTGGCTCCTGTTCTACTTTTAGAGACTATAGGAACCACAAGTAGCCCAGCATTCAGAGAACATAGTGTTCTAGAGGGGTAATAGGGTACTATGAGCTCTTTAAGATATGAAGGGGCCTGACCATGAAGAGCTTTATAGGTGAGGAGGAGGATTTTAAATTCTATTCTACATTTTACAGGGAGCCAATGCAGAGAAGCTAGTACAGGAGAGATGTGATCTCTTTTTCTAGTACCTGTCAGTACTCGTGCTGCAGCGTTCTGAATTAATTGGAGCGTTTTAATGGACTTATTGGGGCAACCTGATAATAAAGAGTTGCAGTAATCCAGCCTTGAAGTAACAAATGCATGGATTAGTTTTTCTGCATCTGTCTGTGATAGGATGTGTCTAATTTTTCTAATATTACGTAAATGAAAGAAGGCAGTCCTAGAGGTCTGCTTCATGTGGGAGTTAAATGACAAATCCTGATCAAAGATAACTCCAAGATTCCTGACAGTGGTGCTAGAGGCCAAGTTAATGCCATCTAGAGTAACTATATCTTTAGACAGTGAGTCTCTAAGGTTTTTGGGGCCAAGTACAAGAACTTTTAGCATCAGAAAATTGCAGCTCATCCAGGTTTTTATGTCCTTAAAACATGATTAATTTCATCGGGCTTGATTGATAGATATAACTGGGTATGGTAATGGTAAATGGTAAATGGACCTGTACTTGTATAGCCCCTTTCTAGTCTTCTGACCACTCAAAGCGCTTTTACACTACGTGCCACATTCACCCTTTCACACACATTCACTCAGTGATGGTTAAGCCCATCAAACAGAAACTAACTCATTCATACACATTCACACACCAATGCACGGCATCGGGAGCAATTCGGGGTTAAGTATCTTGGCAATAGGAGCCGGGGATCGAACCCACAACCTTCCGATTAGGGGATGACCCGCTCTTCCTCTGCACCACAGCCACCCCAAGGTATCATCTGTATAACAGTGAAGGTTAATGGAGTGATTCCTAATTTGATTTGATTTGATTCAACTTTATTGTCATTGTAAGTACAGGTACAAACAACGAAATGCGGTTAGCATCAACCAGAAGTGCAAAGCAGTAAAGTGTAATTTACAAATGTACAGAAATATGTAAAAAAAAAAGTAATAATAACAGTTCAGATGCACGCTGTTTTATTGATACAGAGTGTGTGTGTGTGTGTGTGTGTGTGTGTGTGTGTGTGTGTGTGTAAGCTGTTTACAGTTATTGCACTTTTTTTATATTTCAAGACTCAAGTATTTGACATTTTGGGAATGTAATAAATATTAACTTGACAATCAATTTGAAACCCTTACAGTTGCATATTTGTTTTCAGGATGGGATTTTTCCTGTTAACAGGATTTCCTGTTTTTCTGACTTCCTTTTCTGACCTTATACTTACCTCAAGTTTCCTTTTGGGACATACATGCATACATACGTATATCATACTTGCCTGTTGAGAGGAGTTTATTTCAGCCTCATATAAAATCAACAATAATGATAATAAAAATATTAAAGCAAACAGAGCTCTGGTATTGGAATAGTATCGGTATCGGCCGATATCCAAATTCAGGTATCGGGATCGGATCGGAAGTGAAAAAATGTGGATCGGTGCATCCCTAACTGTGGTACATATCCAGTAAAGATGTGCCAATTAAGGGAAAGACTTCTTTAAGCAGCCTAGTTGGGATGGGATCTAACAGACAGTAAAATACTGTTATACACTAAAATACCACAGTTATACACTAAACAATACCACTGTTATACACTAAACCATACCGCTGTTATACACTAAACCATACCGCTGTAATACACTAAACCATACCGCTGTTATACACTAACAATACCGCTGTTATACACTAAACCATACCGCTGTTATACACTAAACCATACCGCTGTAATACACTAAACAATACCGCTGTTATACACTAAACCATACCGCTGTAATACACTAAACCATACCGCTGTAATACACTAAACCATACCGCTGTTATACACTAAACCATACCGCTGTTATACACTAAACAATACCGCTGTTATACACTAAACCATACTGCTGTAATACACTAACAATACCGCTGTTATACACTAAACCATACTGCTGTAATACACTAAACCATACCGCTGTTATACAATAAAATTAGGGATGCATGATAATTTTTCTTTTAAATCGATACCGATAACCGATAACTTTCAGCTCCTAAAGGCCGATACCGATACCCGATAACACAAACACATACATAATATATATGATCATGACTTAAGATCATGACATTAATACAATGAACAAACCCAAAAACACTTTTGTTTTTAAATGTTTAAATTTAAAAGTTGATATTTATTTTTTCCAATGAAAAAGGCAAGCCTCTCAAAAAAAAAAAAGGCCCCTTGAACTGATGCAAATACATGCAGCGGGATTACAAACTGAAAAAGTGTATTCCTGAAGTTCAAAAAAATAAATATATATGGAAAACTGATGCACTGACACAAGTTAGATTAAACATTTCTATGTAGACACAATCTGAAAAAGTGCATTCCTCAATAACAATAATTAAAATGTGCATAATGCACTGACACAAGTTACACTTGTCTGTGTAAACAAACTGAAAAAGTGCATTCCATGGTAACAAAAAACTAAGTTTGAATGATTTTGGCTTATGGTTCCATTCAAATGAATACCTTTTCACTAAAGTAAATGAGGTTCAGTTGTTTTATAGAGAGAGAGAGAGAAAGAGAGAGAGTGAGAGAGAAAAAAAATTCCACTAGCATTGTCAGCCATAGCCACCATAGCCATGTGCGCACCAGAGCCAATCACTGCAGAGCCCACCCCCACGACACACCTTAAGAATCACGCTGATCTAACGTTATACCTACAGCGGCGTGAATGGCTTTATACCTGCAGCGGGTTTTGCCGGCTGTTCGGTCCCGTTCTGTGAATCTAAACTAACTGTTGTGGATTACTGACACTGAACGAGTCCGGACCGAGTCTGTTCCGGTCTGAGGAGATCCGGATACGCGAGGACAACAAACTGGAATCAGAATCTGTGGATGTTCGTCTGTAGCGAGCTGCTACACCTTCAAACACAGCCTCATTTGGCCATCCATGAAAAAGCTACTTAACCTCCCACTTTTCTATAGCAATACATACTTCCTACGGGCACTGCACTAGTTTGTTACAAATAACAAGCGACCTGTCTTCTTCAGAAATTTTGTAAAAGTCCCACACAATCGACGCCGTGTTGTCTGTTTTCAAACCTAAGCACGCTGTGCTGCATTAACGGAAATTCCCTGTTCCCACATTTGGTAGTCGTTCTTTCGGCCTTGTTAAGTTTGTGTTTCCATTGTTTATGTGTAACATGTGGAAAAATACCGTGGATATCAATTCAAGTCAGCAACTACCAAAATTACGACCGGATTAACAAGTTTTTTTCCGACATGAGGGGGTATTCTTGAATTTTCCCAGTCAGAAAGAGTTTTTCTGATTATGCCAACGTCACTTGAACACAGCATTCACTGCAGGGCATTCAGGTCTCATAGTGAGAGCAGGGCACTGCCGTGCTGACAAAATTATATATGTTATCGGGGCTATTCGTCATGATATCGGACTTATCGGAATGACGTAATAATTTTCTGTTATAATTATCGTGCACCCCTAAATAAAATACAGCTGTTATACAATAAAAATATGATTGTTAAACACTAAACAATACCACTGTTATACACTAACAATACTGCTGTTAACCATACCGCTGTTATACAATAAAAATATGATTGTTAAACACTAAACAATACCGCTGTTATGCACTAACCACTACCACTGTTACACAATAAAAATATGATTGTTATATAGAGGTGGGCGATATATATCGTTTGCGATAATATCGTCATTGTTGTTTTGACAATGTGCAAATTTCCATTATCGAGTATTTAAATTACTTCGACAAAAACAATGAAACGCCCGCGGAAACTCCTCACATCCATTAAGACACGGAGCAGCAGCGCTCTCTACAGCATGGCAGGATTCAGTCACACAACTAGTGGGCCTACGTGATCACATGACGTGATCACGTGACCTCTCGCTAGCATCCTCCTTGCAACAGTTTAGCAGCGCGTTGTGATGGTAGAGAGAAAATGCAAACACCTCCAGTCCCTGAAGCTACCGGTACTTCAGATGATTTAGTGCCGAGACGTGGGTCCTATGGGCTTCAGCGTTCAGAGCTCTAAGCGCCTTCAGCGGTAAAAAGATGTCAGCGGAGACGGTTTTTTTAGCGCAGCGCTCAGAGCGCTTCAAGTTGAAATCTGTTCAACCTTTAACCCCGCTGGGCGCTCAGAAAATGAATTTTTGAGCTCTCTCAGCGCTGTAAATGCATTTGGTGGACACAAGTCCAGCTCAGACAATTCAAATCACATTTTAAAGGATATCGACTGATTATCGTTATCGCCAAAATCCCAAAAAATATTGAGATATTATTTTTTGCCCATATCGACCATCCCTATTGTTATACACTAAACAATACCGCTGTTATACACTAACAATACCGCTGTTATACACTAAACAATACCGCTGTTATGCACTAACAATACCGCTGTTATACACTAACAATACCGCTGTTATACACTAACAATACCGCTGTTATACACTAACAATACCGCTGTTATACACTAAACAATACCGCTGTTATACACTAAACAATACCGCTGTTATACACTAAACAATACCGCTGTTATACACTAACAATACCGCTGTTATACACTAAACAATACCGCTGTTATACACTAACAATACCGCTGTTATACACTAAACAATACCGCTGTTATACACTAACAATACCGCTGTTATACACTAACAATACCGCTGTTATACACTAACAATACCGCTGTTATACACTAACAATACCGCTGTTATACACTAACAATACTGCTGTTATACACTAACAATACCGCTGTTATACACTAACAATACCGCTGTTATACACTAACAATACCGCTGTTATACCGCTGTTATACACTAACAATACCGCTGTTATACACTAACAATACCGCTGTTATACACTAAACAATACCGCTGTTATACACTAACAATACCGCTGTTATACACTAACAATACTGCTGTTATACACTAACAATACCGCTGTTATACACTAACAATACTGCTGTCATACACTAACAATACCGCTGTTATACCGCTGTTATACACTAACAATACCGCTGTTATACACTAACAATACCGCTGTTATACACTAAACAATACCGCTGTTATACACTAACAATACTGCTGTTATACACTAACAATACCGCTGTTATACACTAACAATACCGCTGTTATACACTAAACAATACCGCTGTTATACACTAACAATACCGCTGTTATACCGCTGTTATACACTAACAATACCGCTGTTATACACTAACAATACCGCTGTTATACACTAAACAATACCGCTGTTATACACTAAACAATACCGCTGTTATACACTAACAATACCGCTGTTATGCACTAACAATACCGCTGTTATACACTAAACAATACCGCTGTTATACACTAACAATACCGCTGTTATACACTAAACAATACCGCTGTTATACACTAACAATACCGCTGTTATACACTAACAATACTGCTGTTATACACTAACAATACTGCTGTTATACACTAACAATACCGCTGTTATACACTAACAATACTGCTGTTATACACTAACAATACCGCTGTTATACACTAACAATACCGCTGTTATACACTAACAATACCGCTGTTATACCGCTGTTATACACTAACAATACCGCTGTTATACACTAACAATACCGCTGTTATACACTAAACAATACCGCTGTTATACACTAAACAATACCGCTGTTATACACTAACAATACTGCTGTTATACACTAACAATACCGCTGTTATACACTAACAATACTGCTGTTATACACTAACAATACCGCTGTTATACCGCTGTTATACACTAACAATACCGCTGTTATACACTAACAATACAGCTGTTATACACTAAACAATACTGCTGTTATACACTAACAATACCGCTGTTATACACTAACAATACCGCTGTTATACACTAACAATACCGCTGTTATACACTAAACAATACCGCTGTTATACACTAACAATACCGCTGTTATACCGCTGTTATACACTAACAATACCGCTGTTATACACTAACAATACCGCTGTTATACACTAACAATACCGCTGTTATACACTAACAATACCGCTGTTATACACTAAATCTATGGTGACCCTAAAAACAGCACCATGACACTCACAGCAACAGCAGAAGTACGGTGGAAGGCAGAGACCGAATATACAACCAAACTCACTTCCTGTCGGTGTGGTCGAGGCCGCTGAGCCGGACGCCTTCGATCTGCTCGTTGCGTTGACCGCAGGTGTTGCCGTAGCTGTCATAGCCAAAGACGAGGCGAGCGGCGCCGCCGGTGACGATGGTGAAGCCGCAGATGCTGCCCTGCAGGAGGGGAAGACAGCCACTGTTAGTGAGGACACTGAGACCGTAAAAGACAACCTGCTGAGGATAAATCTGGTCCACATCTCACAAATGCTACTACAGAGAGGTAAAATACCTACACCTTCACCGTGATGTCAGCATGTACACCGTGATGTCAGCATGTACACCGTGATGTCAGCATGTACACCGTGATGTCAGCATGTACACCGTGATGTCAATGAGATGAGTCACTTTTAAAAGTGACATCATGACCACAGCTGTGACATCACTGTCCAGCAGTTGATTGATCGTCAGCTCAGAAACTTAAATGTCCCAGTCAACCTGAACACACCACGATCACTTCACTGACTGCATCTTTAACTCACTGAAGGTCAATCAGTTCTCATCAATCATCATTATTTGACTATTGATTAACCTGATTATTGTATTGATTGATTGTTGTTGTTGTCCAACAGAGGAACAAACATTCAGTTCACTGAGGTGATTGATTATTGTCTCTCCATCAATCAATCAATCAATCAATCAATCCCTTTATAAACACATTTACGCTGCTGTTGTTGTTGTTGTTGTTGTCGTTGTTGTTGTATAACGGTGTAGTGAGAATGAGGCTCTGCTGGTTACCATGCCGACGCAGAAGACGGTGAAGAGCAGGAACCAGGGCAGGTCTGTGCAGCTCCGGTCCTCCAGCGGTCTCCATTCTCTCTTTGTCCTCTGAAACACACAAACACACGGTCACACCGGGACCGGAGCCGGGCCTGCGGGACCGGGCCGGGCCGGGCCGGGTCGGGTCTGTCCGTCCCCGGCCTGTTAGCTCGGCTCGGCTCGGTTTTCATCACTAATCAGCTCACACAGGGCGGCTGTTTACCGGAGGCAGGCCCCGGTAATTGGATTACAGCTGCTGGCTCTAATCCCAGCTCGGCCCTCTCTGCTGCCCGGGACCGGTTTCCCTTTCACGGGGAAAAAATAAAGCCGCACCGGGGCTCTGCTGAAGGGCACCGGGGGGGTGGAGGAGGGGGAGGACGGAACCGAACCGAGCCGAACCGAGCCGAACCGGACCGGGCTGTTCTTACCTCCGCGCTACCGCAGCATCCCATTGCAGTCAGGGTGGACGTTAACCGGAGCTTCACGGAGCCTCACGGAGCTTCAGCTCAGCAGCAGCGGGGTTCTGGAGCCCGACGGGCGGGGGGAGGAGACGGACAGCCCCGCGCGCTCTGCCTGCATGCACTCACTGCGCAGCGGCGCGATCCCGGAGGCCGAGCCCGGAGCGGAGACACTGCCGACGGTCAGACTGAGCGCTCCGACCCGCTGAGCATGCTACTGTCGGTGCCTCCTCCGGTTACCGTACCGAGCGGGGATTAACGGCCGAGGATTTGTCCGCCACACTTCCTGGTGGGCCGTCAGGTGCAGCGGCCATTCATCTCATTGCGCGTGCGCAATTAGTGTCCGTGTCTGTGGAGCGCAGGAGCTGCAGGTAATACCTGCTGTGACCACTGAGTGCAGTCTAATGACAGAGTGGCGCTGTTTCCACTGATGGGACCTCTACTACTTTATTTAGAAAAACAATTAACAACGTTTTTATTTTTATATATAATTATGACAATATTAACATTTCTTATAATAATTATTATCATTCATGTTTATAATATCAATTATAAGGAAATATAACCAGTCACCAGTTCATTAAAGCTCCAGTGTGTCACATTAATATAATATAATATAATATAATATAATATAATATCCATAGGTATGTTTTCATTATTGTTTAATCAGCTGACAATAAGAATCATTGTGTGTTGGTTACCTTAGAATGAGATGTTATTTATCTACAGAGGGAGCAGGTCGTCTCCTGGCGGAGTCCGCCATGTTGAACCACCATGAACGGATCTAGATTGGGGCTTTGTGTTTTTTGCTGGCTTCGTGGCCACTGTAGTTTATCACGGCTGGTAAGGGGAGGGGAAAACCAGTGAGGTGTAATCTGCAACTACCCCACTAGATGACACTAAATCCTACATGCCGGTCCTTTAACTTTCTCGAAATATTGACTTTGTGATGTTAAAAATTATGACTCAGGGAGAAGGTTTCTCATTATTTTGAGATTCTAAGTCAAAATAAAGAGGAATTGTCTCCTTATAATGATTTACAGAATCTTTTTATGGGCTTATAAAAAGTGAAATAATAAAGAGGAAAAAATAAAACGTCTTCAAGAAAACATCTGAGAATAAATTTGAACCTCTAACATACATTTATAATTCTTTCAATATTTTAGAGACATTCAGTCTGAATGAGGAAGAAGCAGTTAACAAATACAGATACAAACATAAAGGAAAGAAATCAATTCAATTGGTGGAAATAAACACAACAGCAGACAGTAACTGATAATGAATCAAACAAACAATAAAAACCAACAGAAACTGACGAGGAGCAAAGTATGAGACAATCAACAGGAAAGATATTCTACTCATGTATTTAATGTAGATTTAAATGAGTGAAAGTAGTAAAGAGGCAGACCTGCGTTTTCCAAAATAGAACCACAGGATGTGAAAAGATCAATGATATCATTGTGATTAAAAGAATTATTGATTTCTAACGACAACCAATCAGGGACGTCACAGTTTACAGACGAGGTTGAGTTCAGAAATTTCACTTTGTGGATGTAAAACTTTATAATAAAATAAAAATGAATGTTCATGTTGTTCTAATTACAGTCGACGTAAGAAATCACGTGAGTTATGATCAATAATACTTTATTTTCTCTAAGAATCTTTAAATGTTTGTTGGATATTTTCTGTAGTTTATTCATCCAGTAAAGTGCTGACTGTATTTAATACTTGTAATATAATAATATTTAATATACAATGTTCTGAACTTGTTACTTGTAAATGTGCATTTTTATACATATTTTAACATTCTTATTATTATTGCTATTTCTTTTATTTCCTCCCCGGAGATCAATAAAGTTCACTGTGTAAAACATTGTAAAGCTTTTGGGAATATTTGATATGTTTTTATTTATTTGTTCTTATTCACACTGTTGTTTTATTCCTTTGTCACATTGTTAAGATTGTATAAATAAAGTTTATTTTTATTATTATTCCAGTTTGATCCACTGACTCATTTTCTTTAAGTCGACTTCATATAATTATAAAAATGTGCCACAGTGACGTTTTATCGTACGTCAGCTGTTGTGACAGGTTGTTTCGTACTTTGCTTTAATGTAAATCTAATTTTGAGTTAGTTCAACTCAAACTTTAGTTTAACAAGTCGCTTTAAACAGTTTAAATTTATTAACACAAACAATTTAAGCATGAAATAATATTTGATTTGAGTAAAACTAACTCATTTATTAAGATAAATTAATTGTAAACTAGTCAGTAAATTACTGTCATATGCAGCATTTCTCCAATTTAAAATGTCTTAACAGAATTTATTTGAATAAAGTTACTTAAAGTAATATTTTATACAAATGTTACTATTTAAATTGAATTTACTCATTTTTCTTCCACTAAAGGAAGCAATTATTACATTACCTGTAAAAATAGATGATGTACCATCAAAACAGTTTATAATTAATTATCAAAAGCTAATTGCCTGTCTGTCTGTCTGTCTCTCTCTCTCTCTCTCTCTCTCTCTCTCTCTCTCTCTCTCTCTCTCTCTCTCACACCAACTGGTCGAGACAGACGACCACCCACCTAGAGCCGGAGGATCTGTCCTAGGTTTCTGCCTTTTAACAGGCAGTTTTTCCTTGCCCTTGTCGCCAAGTGCTTGCTCATGGTGGTACTGTTGGGTCTCTGTAAATAATGTTATAAAGAGTTCGGTCTAGACCTGCTCTATTTGAAAAGTGTCCTGAGATAACTTCTGTTATGAATTGGCGCTATACAAATAAAATTGAATTGAATTGAATTAATTAATTTTGGGGCTTAATGTGTTAAATTATATAAAGTGAACTTAAAGAAAATGAGTCAATGTAAATTCTGACTCACTGAAACAACTGAGTTTCTTCAACAGTTCATGTTTAATTCATCAGTGACTCAAAATGTTTTAGAGGATTAAGTTAAATAAACTTACTTCTTTATTTAGATGCTATTGGATTTACATTGTGAATAAAGAAGTTGCATTTCAGTTATTCTTACTTTATTTAGATAAATCCATTTTAAATAATGTTGGTGAAATGCTGCATATGAGTGCAATAAACTGACTACTTTTAATAGAATTAGTACAATTAATCTAATTCCATTCAAATCTATTTTGTATAAATTTTCATGCTTAAATAGTTTGAGTGAATAAACTTAATCTGTTAAATATTTTGAGTTGAACCAACTCATCAGGTTTTTCTTTCTTTCAGAAAAAACACAGAAAGTATCTGGATCATTTATTGTAGTAAAAGTACAAATACTCTGTTACATTAAAAGTCCTGCAGTGGTATTTAAGTAAAGTACAAATATATTATTAGTCAAATGTTTTTAAAGTATCACAGTTACTCATTACTAATAATACAATCACAGTAATAAGATTACTTACACCAGTAACTAGTAGTGTAACTAATTACTAATACATTTCAGTAATAATATTACAGTTACCCCCTAATAAAAGTAACTAGTTACAACATTACTTTTGTTGGCAGCAACTACTAATTATTAATCCAACAATCACATCTTTGGATTAATTTTTTAAACTAGTTTAAAAAATACTCCCTACTTTTTTTTCACACTTGTGAAGAGTAGCATAAACACAATAAATTAATAATAACCCTAACCCTAATTAGTAAAGTAATAAATTATGTATTAATATCTAAGTTTTTATTGGTGGAAATAATTTATATAATTATAAATTTCAGTTCAATTCAATTTTATTTGTATAGCGCCAATTCATAACAGAAGTTATCTCAGGACACTTTTCAAATAGAGCAGGTCTAACTCTTTATAACATAAACTCATCATGTTTTATATATTAAATATTATTCTGTAAACTAACTGCAGGTATAAAGTGGAAATACTCAAATATTAATAAAGTAACTGAACTTCATCATCGTCTCACAGAACAACAACACTCAGACCAGTAAACCTTTAAACCAGTAAACCAGTAAACCAGTGAATCAGTAAACCAGTAAACATGTGAACCTTTAAACCAGTAAACATGTTAACCTGTAAACATGTAAACATTTAAACATTTAAACCTGTAAACATGTAAACCTTTAAACCAGTAAACCTGTAAACATGTAAACCTTTAAACCAGTAAACCTGTAAACCTGTAAACTAGTAAAAAGGAAACCAGTAAACCAGTAAACCTGAAAACCAGTAAATCTGTCATCCTTTACCTTTTTCCTCAGACGGACCTGCTGCTGAGAGCTCGACGATAGACGCTTAGGATCCATGTTCCTGTAGAGTCCTGTAGAGTCCTGTAGAGTCTCGAAGAGTCCTGCAGAGTCCTGTAGAGTCCTGTAGAGTCCTGTAGAGTCTTGAAGAGTCCTGTAGAGTCCTGTAGAGTCTTGAAGAGTCCTGTAGAGTCCTGTAGAGTCTTGAAGAGTCCTGTAGAGTCTTGAAGAGTCTTGAAGGAGCTGTAGAGTCCTGTAGGGTCCAGGAGAGTCCTGTAGAGTCCTGCAAGGTCCTGGTGTTCCTGTGAGACTGAGGAGGCAGCGCTGTGGGTCTGATGAGGCTGCAGAGGACAGAGAGCTTTTGTCTCATTGTTTACTGTTGTACCAGGCTGAACACTGTGTGTGTGTGTGTTTGTGTGTGTGTGTGTGTGTGTGTGTGTGTGTGTGTGTGTGGAGTGTGAGTGTGTGTGAGTGTGTGTGTGTGTGTTACATGGATTAGTTAACTGAAGTTGAATAAATGTTGTTTATCAGTGTATAAGCATTGGTAAACTGTCCAAATACAGTTGTTATCAGTGTAAACAGCAATAATTACTGTAATCTCACAGATAATGACTTTTATTACACTTCTATAACTTTTAACATTCACATTAAAATAATAACAATCCAATAATAACAGCACTCTGCTGTAAATGTAGGTCTGATTGTTGTATTATAACACCTGTATTTATAGATCATTTAAATATATTTAATTAAACATCGAAGAGACAAACTGTATTTTATTTAAAGATAATTACTGTATTTTTATGAATTGTTTTACTGTATTCTTGGAATATTGCAAACTCCCAGTGGGCTGATTGTGAGGTTATTGATATGATAAATACATAACCAGCCTTAATTGCAGCGCCACCATCTGGCTGAAAACTCTCTGATCAATATTCACAGGAAATAATCAAACTTCCTGCAGTTATTGTTTTCAGCTGTTCTCTGCTGTTATTGATGCTGATCAATATGATAATGATGGAACCGGTTGCAGTGCCTGTAGAAAGACCTGCAGTTCTGTGTTTGTCCAGCAGAGGTCAGTCTCTCCTCTTTAATCAGCAGTTCTCTCTGTTGGTTGAAACCAGAGTTCCTGTTCAGGTCCGACTATCAGGAGCTTCTGATGGTTTATAGCTCATGAATCAATGCTGTCAGATCCATAAATATTAATTTCCCCTCGTACAGATCTGCCCTGTTAGGATCTTAAGAATACAGAGTTTCTAATGAACAATATCATCATCATAATAAAATACTATATATATTATTATTTTTATATATATACAAAACATTTATTTTCTCTCCATAACAAACAACCTCTTTC